GCCCCCCGGCCCACCCCCTCGGCCGCGGATCTGTTTTCTCTCCCTGTACTTTGTCGTATAAGCGGAGTGACACAGCATGTGGCATTTTAAGTCTGGCTTCTTTCACAAGGCATAGTGCATTGCAGATTTTTCCATAGTGTTGTGCATATTGGAAGACTTTTTAAACTGCTAAATAATATTCCACTCTGTACGGTTTATCCATTCGTCAGTTGAGAGGCATCTGGGTTGTTTCCATGTTTTGGCAATTATCGATAAAGTCGCCATAAACATTTGCAGATAGGTTTTTGTGCGAACCTACCTTTTCGTTTCTCTGGAGTGAATACCCGGGGGTAGGAAAGTGGGTCATATGGTGAAACATATGTTTTATGTTTATAAGAAACTGTCAAATTGTCTCCCGAACGATCGCACCATTTTGTGTCCCCAGCAGCAATTATGAGAATTCCAGCTGTCTCAGCCCTCACCATCACTTGGCGTTGTGATGTATTTTTAAAATCTGACCCATCCCAACACGTGTGTCGGGGAATCTCGCTGTGGTTTTAGTTTGCAATTCCCTGATGCCTAAGGATGTCGGACATCTTTTCCTAAGCTTATTCGCTCGCTATCTGTCCATATTGATCAGTGAAGTGTCTGTACAAGTCTTTTGCTCATTTTTAAAAATTGAGTTGTTTTCTTACTGAATTTTGAGAGTTCTTTGTGTATTATGAATATAAGTCCTTTATCAGATATACAATCTGCAAATATTTTTTCACAGTCTGTGGCTTGCCTTTTTATTTCCTTGGTAGAGTCTTTTGAAGAGTTAGAGGCTTTTAATTTCGGTGAAGTGCAGTTTTTAAAACAGCATTATTGAGATGTAAACTATACAATTCATATATTTAAAGTGTACAGTTCAACTGTTTTAGTGTATTCACAGGTTTGTGCAGCCTTCACCACAACCAACATTAGAGCATTTTCATCACCTCAAGAAGAAACCCCGCACCCCTTAACCTCAGTGTCCTACACCCCCAGTCCCGTCTCCCACCCTGGGCAACACCGGTCTACTTCCCATGAAAACAGGGTCACACAGCGTGTACCAGCACTTCAGCCTTTCAACCCCCAAGTAACCCTCCCTCGCGTGGACATGCCACATTTATTTGTCTACAGTCAGATGGTGAACATCTGGGGCATTTCTCCTTCTGGCTGCTCGGATGACGCTGCTGCGGACAGTTACACACAGGTTTTTACACGGACATGCGTCTTCCTTGCTCTTCATTGTATGCCTAGGGGCGAGGCTGCTGGGTCATTCAGTACCTACATTTTAAATGCCGTGAGGAGCAGCCGGACTGTTTTCCAAAGTGACTGTAGCACCTCAGATCCCCAGCAGCAGGGTCCAAGCGCCCCCTTCCTCTGCGCCCTGACCCACCTTTGCTGTTGTCCCTCTTCGATAATAGCCGTGCTAGTGGGTGTGAAGTGGGGTCTCACTGTGGTTTGATTTGCATTTCCCTGAAGATATTGAGCAGCTTTTCATGAGCTTCTCAGCCACTCGCATATCTTTTTTGGAGCACTGTCTATTCAGACCCTTTCCCATTTTTGAATTGGGTTGCTTCTTGCATTGTTATTACTAATTGCAGTTGTTTACATATTCTAAATACAAGCCTCTTACAGGATAACTGATTTGCAAAAGTTTTATTCCATTCCGTGGGTTGCATTTTCACTCCTTTGAGCACAAGAGCTTTTAAATTTGATGATGTCGAGTTTATCATTTTTTCTTTTGTCGCTTGTGCTTTTGTGCCGTAGCTAAGAAACCATTGCATAATATAAACTCAGGAAGATTTACACCTAGATTTTCTCATAAGCGTTTTGTAGTTTAGCTCTTACATCTGAGTCCTTGATCCATTTTGAGGTAATTTTTGTATGTGATGTGAGGTAAAGACCCAACTTCATTCTTTTGCACATGGATATGCAGTTTTACCAGCAGCATTTATTGAAAGGGTTAGTTTTCCTCCAGTGAATTGCCTTGACATGCATTAACATTTTATTATGTTTGCTTTATGATACATCTGTCAATCTTCCCATTCCTCTATCCATCTTCCAATCTACCTTATTTTTTGACGCTTTTCAAAAAGCGAGTTGTAGAGACCAGAATGCTTTTTCTTAACACTTCAGTGTGCATATCGACCATGGCTCAATATTTGTCCACAATTTTTAATGTAAAATTTACAGACGATGAAAGGCACTCGTCTTAAGTGTATGGTGTTATGACTCTGACAGATGCACTTGCCTCTGCAATGCAAATCTCATGTCAAAATGTAGAACATCAACACACACCCCGGAAAGTTTCCTGATGTGCAGTTATTTTAATGTATTTGTTTTTAACAACTGCATGTGCCTGTGTAACCACCACCCTACTCTCGATATAGAACATCTCCATTTCCTAAGAAAGCTCTCTTTCGCTTCTTTGCAGTTAACCTTGCCCTACCCCGCCCGCACCCCAGGCCTCCACTGCTCTCTGTTCTACCCCTATAGATTAGTTTGGGCGGGTGCAGCATTTCATGTAAATCAAATCATGTGATCAGTGCTCTTTTGTGATCAGCTGATTTCATCCATGACCAATATTTTAAAAACAAAATAAGACAGCATAGAAAACGTCAGAATGAGTGGCACGTTGAAGGGTGAAATATTGCTCTGTTGATGTGTGTGCGCGCGCGCACGTGTGTGCATGTACTCGTACTGGGCGAACATGCATTTCTTGCTCTGGGTTGTCCTTAGAAAGATACAAAAGCTGCTGCTCCGGGTCGGAACGCCGTGTCCCTGTTCTTCCTTCTCGTCACGCTCCTCGCCCCTCAGCCTCCCTGATCTCCTAGCGATTCCCCCAGGGACTGGTCTTGCCCTCATGCCTTTGTGAACTCTGTCCCTTCCCTTCTCACTGTCCCCAGCTTGTTCCACTCAACCCTCAAACCGGCGAACGCCCACCCACTGCTTGGTTGGTCCTTCCTCTGGAAAGCTCTCTATTCCCTACGTCCCCTCTCAGAACTGGCATCACGTGGTACCTAATTACTCGGTCACTCCTTCCTAAGGGAAAAGGACCAACCATGTCCTAGTCACCTTTTCAGGGCCTCGCTCCTAAGATGTGATGACACGTAAAATGCATCAATAAATAATCATCGAAAGAATGGATGAACCCCAGGGTCCCGAACAACAAGACGGGGTTTTACATGAGCCAGCTAGATCTTTCCCAAGGCCCCGTTCCTGTTTCTGTTATTGTCCTGTATGTCTTACCCATCGTGTTTCACGATGTCGTTCAATCTCTTTGAGACCCCGGCCTTTCGATTTCCTCTCTCCACGCCCAATGGTGCAGATTTCATCAGTTACCTCCTCCCAGATACGCTGAGGCAAACAATGGTCATTATGAGGGAGACATCACACCCTTACCTTTACGGCCTTCGCCGCAAAACCCTCCCCCGTCTTGCCAAAGTGACACTAAGTCTGTGACCATGGCTATGGATGGAGGTGTGTATGGTGTGCGCACACACGTGTATGAAGAGATGTTCACTAGATGTCACAGTGGCTGCCTCCGAGATCTCAGGCAGTTTTAATCTTTTACCCTTTTCTATTTGGCTTCGGTTTTCTAACTGAGAATTGCATCAGTTACCTAATGCGACAGCAACGCCACCACAGCTCTCCCGGCCTGCAGCCGGGTTTACTGCTCACACTCAGCGTGTGGCCAGGTGACTCTGCTGACCTTGTCTGGGCTCTTTCCTGTTGGAGCATAGGCCGGCTGATCTAGACTGGCTTTGGCTGGGACAGTCGCGGTGACTGTGCCACATTATCTCTTATGGTGTGGGCGAGCCTAGAGGTAGTCTCACGGCAACAACGGAAACGCAAGTAAGTCCAGTCATGGAAGAGGATTGAAAGCTTCTGCCCCGTCACACCTGCTAAACATCCCACTGGCCCAAACAAGTCATGTGGCTGAGCTCACAGTCCTAGTGAGACACGTACTAGTCACATAGCAAGGAGTGTGGGGGCAGGGAGGGGTGAAGAATTGGGACTCTCACTGCAGCATCCTACAGACATGTTCTAACCTTATACTCAGAAAAAGCAGTCAAGCCCATGGGAATACAAATGGTACAACCACTTCGAAATACAGTTTGGGTTTCTTGCAAAACTTAATGTATTCTTATTATATGATTTAGCACTCACACTTTGTATTTACCCAAAGGAGCTGAAAACGTGTCTGCACAGAAACCCGCACATGAATGTTCATAGCAGCTTTATTCATAACTGACAAAACTTGAAGCAACCACGATGTCCTTCAGCGGGTAAGTGGATAAAGAACCGTAATGCATCCATACAAGGGAATATTATTCCGTGCTAAAAAGAAATGAGCTACCAAGCCAAGAAAAGACATGAAGGAACCCTAAGAGCACAGGACCAAGTGAAAGAAGCCAATCTTAGAAGGCCGCGTACTGTATGATTCCAATCGTATGCCATTCTGGAAAAGGCAAAGCTCTAGGGCCAGGAGAAAGATCAGTGGCGTCCGGGGTTCGCGGGGAGGAGGAACCACAGGTGGAGCTTTGGGGATTTGTATGGAGGAAAAACTATTCTTTATGCTGCTATACTGGTGGACACAAGGCATCAGTACACATTGTCAAAACCCATAGTCCTGTACAAGAGAAAGAGTGAGACAATGTAAACTGCAGACTTTAGTTAATAATAATGTATAAGTATCAGTTCACATTAATACACGTCCTTAGTAGTAGGGTAAATTCTGTGCAGGGGAGAGGTATATGGGAGCTCTCTGTACTGTCAACTTTTCTGTAAATCTACAAGTGTTCTAAAATTTTTAATTAACTTCTATTAATTTTTTGATACATGAAGGATAGGCTTAAGGACAAGTAAGTGGGTTGCGATGTAATGTGAGTTGGACAAGTAAGTGGGTTGTGATGTAATGTGAGTTGAGCTTGTACTGAGAACGTACTTGGGAAGCTCCTGCTCTCGGGCTGAGGGCCTGGGGTTTTCTTATTTGGGGACCTCCAGGCTCCCTTGCGCCACCTGACACAGAGCAGCCCCTTAAACAGTCTGGACCCTGGGTGGGAACCTGAATCGTGGAGCTGTATGTGAGGTGCCAAGCTGCACATTTATTATCTCTGCTGGGACTCTACCCCTGAACGCAGCCTCCTGACCCCTTCTTGAATTTTCATCATCCACATCAAAGCAAGCAGGCTGAAGGGACAGGCCGACCCGGCTCGCTTGTCATTGCCATCTGTTAAGAACAACAGCGAACACCGATTGAGTGCCTAACACGTGCTGGGCATTGTCCCCAGCACTTCTGCTGTGTGTCATCACTCCGGCCTCACAGGGCCCTCTGGGGTGCGGTCAGTCACCATCCCCACTTAGCAGGCCAGCCGAGGCACAGGGACTGGTCTGCTGGGCCCAAATCCCCAGAGCCAGCAGCAGTGGGGTCGGCGGGCAGACGCAGGTGGCCTGGGGGCAAGCGAGGAACAGGAACAAGGGAAGAGTGATTCAAAGACGTGAAGGTGCAGAAACAGGGTGGGAGCCCAGCTTGGGAGGCCACACAGTCCCACAGTGAGACCTCCGCTATGATGTCCAGAGGAGGCTGGGCACAAACTCAGAGACACTGAGATGGGACAAAACAAGTTTTCTCCTTTGCAGAGGGGAGCAGGCAGGATTACGGCAGGAGCTGGTTTCCAGAGAATTCCAGCCCTTGGAGTCGAGTGTCTCGGAGGCTGAGCCCTCCCGCCCGCGGGACGGGGCGGGCGGCCAGGATGAGTGAGGCGCCCGCCCTGGCCGGGCACAGGGTGAGCGTGCAGGGGCCGCAGGTTTCCCTCCACGTCTTGTCACTGCCACGTCTGCGCTGCCCCGGGCTGGTCCTCTGTTCTCTGAGTCTCGGTTTCCCCAGCCGCCCTCCTCCTCGGCCCCACTTGCCATGTCCCAGCGCCTCAGCCTTGCTGTTCTTGGAACACGCCCCGCAAGTTTCCTCCAAGCCTTTGCCCTTGCTGGGCCCGCTGCCTGGAAGGCCCTTTCCTCGGGCGTCGCCGTGACTTGCCCCTCTTCTGCCTCAGGCGTCACTCAGAAGTCACCTCCTCCAGGAAGGCTTCCTAGATCACACCCCGTTCCTCTCTGTTCCCGTATCGTCTCTATTTTGTTCATGGCAGCTAAGGCCATGATTGATGATGTCACAATCTTTTCTGTACCTGTGTGTCTGTCTCCACCTTCCAGAAGGTCAGTTCTGAGAAGGCAGAGCTTCTATCCATCTTGTTTACTGTTGTGTCTCTGGGACCTGGCACAGTGTGCAGGACACAGTAGGAGCTCAATAAAGACAGGTCGACTGGCGGCAGAGTCAGCGGGGGCTCTTCCTGGGCTGCCTGAGGCCTTCCCGCTCGGCTGACCCAGGAGGGTCTGTTCCTCCTTGAGTTCCCTCTGCTCTCAGGCCACCCCGGGCCTCTCCCTGGCACCTAGCTCTTGGCTGCCCCGTGGAGGGACTTGTCAGCGGGCAGCTTGAGTCTGCCCTGCCTGTCCCGGGCTTGAGGACGGAGGTGGCTCCGTTGTGGGTAGCAGAATGCGGGAGCCGAAATGGCTCCTCTGCCCCCAGCGTCCCGTCACCTCCCTGGGCCTCGGAGAGTCTTGGATGATGACGAGTGGGTGCGGGAGCCTGGTCTCTGCCCGTCCGAGTGGGGTCGGCAGTAGAACCTGCTCCCCAGGGTCAGGGCGAGAACTCCAAACGGTCAGCATGGTCCCTTACCCCTAGTGAGTGTTGGCGGCTGTGACCCTTCTGGTGAAGGAGGGACCAACACCTCTTCTTTTTCCTTTTCAGGATTAAGAAAACGCGGTGGGACCAAATTCCCAGCCCAGCCCACAGTCCCGGCGTGGCTGTCGTCATCCGGGAGTCTCAGGTAGGAGAGCGGGCGGGCTTGGGTGCTTCGGACAGCGCGTCGGGGAGACGCCAGGGTGTGGGGGGTGCCCAGCGCTCTGGGGCCCGCGCGGGAGTCGGGCCGGCTCCCCACACGGGCTCGGCCCTCGCAGCTGCTCGTCCAGCCTGAGCGGGGTCCTCGCTGGTCGCTCTCATTCCTCCGCTCCCTTCGGAGGAGATGACCCCTGAGGTCATCTGCACGTCATCCTCTGGGGAGGTACCTGAACCAGGAGAGGGGGGCGCCCCTTCTGGGTCTTCCTCTGGGAAAGCGCCCCGAAGCACCAGCCAGTCTCCCCACAAGAAGGTCTCCCCTGGAACCTCTAGGCGGCGAGGGTGGGGCTTGCGGGAGACCCACCTCCTTTCACCTTCAGAAGGGGTGAGCGCTCAGGTGCGCTGGGCGGAGCTCCCAGGAGGAGCGGGGCCCCAGGAAGCTTGTTCCAGGGCCAGGAGCAGCCTCTTCACCCAGAGCCGAGCCCTCCAGCCGCTGGGACGCAGAGCCCGGCCCGCCCGGCCTTCGCTGAGGTGCCCACTGTCATCGCAGACCGTCCGGCATGCGGCAGCTCCAGCCCTCAGGTCCTGGACAGCGCGACTCGAACCTGAGGCTGGCTGGACCCCTGGGGGAAAGGGACCCCAGCACCGCCCCTGCCCCTCAGCGCTCCAGCCCGAGCTGGACACCTGGGAGCAGGTCCTCCGACAGCGGTTCCTCCAGGCAGCTGCAGCCCCTGCCCGGGGCCCTGCCGGTGGCTGCTGGGGTTCGTGCAGGCGGTTCAGGAGGGCGGCAGGCCTCGCCCCTTCCGGAGATGCTGAGTGCAAGGCCTTCTCCAGCCGGCTCACCAGCGGCGCCATCTGCCCGGCCATGCCTGGGATTGAGGCCAGCGGTGGGGAGGGCGCTGCAGGCCTCTCCAGAGCCTCACTTCTGGCTGCCCTGGGGCCCTTGCCCCCGTCCCCCTGTTTACCTATGGACTGGAAATGCGGCCACCTCACCGCCCTCAGAACTCACTCCCCCCAAGCAGTTCCCCAGCCCGACGTTGGTTCAAGGGGTCTCCTTCGTTCTGAGCCCAAAGCCACCCCGTCAGCTGCCGAGTCACTCCCCCCCTCCCCCGCCCTCGCCCCACACACACGATTGACAGATGAGGAAAAGGGACTTGCCAAGCCCGAACTGGCCCTCTGGACTTTTTGCCTTCAAGAGCTTTTATAATAAAACACAACAGTTTAAAATAGAAATAACGATTTAGTGCTAAGCAATATGCCAAGAGCTATCTACCCACTGTCAGCTCCAGTAGGCAGATTCGGTTACCCCAGTTACAGGTGAGGGAGCGGGCCCAGAGGGGTCGAAGGTTAGCTTAGGGCCACACAGCTAGGAGGTCCTGGAGTCAGGATGTGAACCCCAGCCTGACTGCAGAGCTCCTGGCCCCCGCGGAATGCCACCTCACTTACTGCGTGGCACCTACTGGAATGTCGCTTTGCCTGAGGATCATCTCGGAAAATCAAATCTAAAACTTAAGCGGCAGAGAAAATGCATTTGTGTGACTGCTGGAGACCGAGTTAGGTTGGAAGTCCAGCAGAATTCGGGCCAAAGTCCCAAACAGTTCTCTCCTCAGGATCTTCTGAGAAACAGACCTGAGCTGTCAGCTGCGGCTCATGCAGGGCTTGGGGCAGGTGGACTGGAGAACTAGACAGGGACCCCTCCCATCTCTTATCTGGATTTAACCAGCTTGGGAAGCCGGACAAAGGCCACTGTCCTTGCTTCCCCAGCCCGTCCCAGCCTCACGCAGAGAAGGAAGAAGCGGAGAAAGCAGGGCTGCTGCACGCCCACCAGCGGGTGCCGAGCTCTGCCCTGCGAGGCGCTTTGCTGGAGCCAAGGACACTGAGCGACACGAGGCCCCGTCCCTGCTGGACCCTACGGGTCAGTTGGCGTCAGTAAACAGACCAGAACATTGCCAACGCTGAAGGGACTAGGGCTCTCAAACACAGGGAGCTGAAGAGAGGCCTTTCAGGAGGTGACTTGAGCCGAACCCTCAGTGGCCGGAAGAGGTCATGATGGGCCGAGGAAGAGCAAGTAAGTGCAAAGGCTCAGAGGCACGAGGAGCTTGGCACGTTCACGGCACAGAACGGTCAGGGACTGTGGTGGGGACAAGGAGGGCATGGTAGGGGCATGAGTGAGGAATCTGTGTTTTGGCTTCAGTGCACGTCAGTCAGCCCCACCCACTGAGAAACGTGGCTCAACAGACAGCGGTCTCCCCTCAATCTCCCCAGTCCCCACCCCCAACCTGCGGAGGACCAAGCTCCCTGCGACGGCAGTGCCTGCCTGCGGTGGTTGACACCCTCACGCTGGGATTCTCACTCGCGACCGAGGTGACTCCGCCAGGCATGAGTTGATTCGCACGGGCGGATGGCTGGCTGCCAGGCCTTTCCTGAAATTTCTTTGACAAAAGACTTTTTAAAATTCCCTGAGAATCTGGTCCTCGGCCTCCCAGGCCTCCCTTTAAAAAGTCTAGTCGCCAAATTAGGCACAAAACTCAAGGGTCGCTGGGGCACGAAGCCCCAGACCACTTCTCTATTCCGTATGTCCCCTTTGCTGGCTTGTGCCTCTTTCCTCTCGTTTGTAAAATGAAATGTGTAGTGAGCTCTGGGTCTAGGGTCACCCTGAACATAGTCTCCGTGTCATCGTCTTCCTCATCTCTTGGGTTTAATCCAGCTGGGCGGGGGGCACAGTGACAAGGGTCGAAAGGTGCAAACAGCTCCCAAGTCTGACGTTCCCGCGCGGCCGCTGCTCGGGCCTCCCTCCGAACTTCCCTGCAAGCCCCTCAGGGCCGCACAGCTGCTGGTGAGTCCCCCACACGGCGGCCCCCACACTATCTGCTGTTGATGCAAGAAGCATCCAAACATGTAGAGAATCTTTACGTGAGTTTATTTCAGCCCAACTGATGATATCTGCTTGGGAGCAAGACCTCAAATGTTCCAGAGACCGTCCACCTTGCAGTGTCTTTTATGCACTGGGAATCCAGGCGGGAACGTGAGGAAGACGACGTGACGGTGGGAGAAAGCGAGGCCGGGACGGGATCGCAAACCGGTGACGATCGTGTGCCATCTGTCACGCTTTGGAGGAGGGGTGAGAGGGGCGTTTCACAAGGGTGTCACCTGGGTGCACAGAGGCCGTGGACAGGCTTGTCTGAGGTGGAGACAAGCCTCCGAGCGAAGAAGTTTCGCCTGGGGTGTGACGACCCCCCCCATGGCCTGCCCAGTTAGGGACTTGTGATCAGATCACCATGGGGTCACTCTCCACAGAACCCCTCTTTTTCTCCAGACTGCATTTCTTCCTTGGCCAGGTGGCTGTTCAGATCTTTACCCAGTTTTAGTGGGGTTGTTTGTTTTAGACTCCTTTGTGCAGTTTGAGCAGAAATCCTTTATCAGATACATGTCGCGCAAATATTTTCTCCCAGTTTGTGGTTTTTCTTTTGGATCCCTGAACAAGGTCTTTTGTAAAGTTTTTAATTTTAT